TGAAGGATTACATTCTTTTTCAAATGTGGCCCTAAGAGCCTAGGAATCCTGCAAGTTTTAGACAGTTTTCCATTTAGTGAAATTAGATACCTAATTAATTATTGGAATCTTTAAATTAATGTTTTAGGAAGAGATGCTGTAGAGTCTCATTAAAATACTATTACTGGATAAAAGAATGGTATTTTCATGAGAGGATAACTGTGATATATCCAATCTTTTTATAGTCTAGTCAGAAGATAGAATTTGCCCCTAGGTTATCAGAGCAGTCTACATTTCACTTTTGATCTCTCTCACATGCTTCTATTTTTCAATATTTCTCAATGTGCTATTTTTTTTATACTTGTTGGAGTGACCTTGGCACTTCTGAGATGTTGTGACTTGTATTTTCTTCTTTCTCTACTCCTTCCCTGAAAACTGCGGTACATGTAGATAACTCGGTCTCACAGATACTGCTTGATTTCCTTCTGTCTTACTTGCATAATTTTCCTGGAAGAGGCACGACTTTGTCCTTTGTTATTACCAACTTACATTTAAATTATTAGAAAAATTGCCATTGTGATGCTATTGCTTTTTAAAAGCTGCTCATTTTCTTTTGCTTGATTTTGATTTTTTGATACTTTCAGTGAATGTTGGCTAGAGCTTGTTTTTACTCTGGTCATAGTTTTATTTTTATTTTTTGGTCTTTTCATTCATTGCTTCCAAAAAGTACTTTTTTATATCTACTTCTGAAGAATTCTGATTGCTTCATCCTAATTTTTTAGCATCTTAATTTTTCATTCAATAGATTTTTTTCCCCACTTCATTTTCTGCAGATTACTGGACTTGCTTTTGTTCATTGTTAGACTTATTGTTTAGATCTGTCGTGTGTGAACTCAAAGGATCCTTCATACCATTTTTTTTTTTACATCTTTCTTATCCAGTTACTAGGCATTTCAGAGTTATTTGACAGTAAAGAGTATTATTCAGTTGTTTTCCTGAATTCCACAGGCTAATGCTTGATTTTCACAAAGTTTGTGAAGGCGAGTGGAGTTTTGCACAGCCTTCTGAACACTGTTCGTGGGAGCTATAGCAAGGCACAGTCCAAGATTGCTCTTTGTGTGCAAGTTTGATTCTGCTGCTGGTGCTCTGGTTTGTGCCTGTGTGTGCAGCAGCAAAAGACTCATAAACAATGAACTCAGAATTCAAAGAAAGATTGGTGTGTTTTTTTCTCCCCAGCTAGCATTCTGTGGTTTTTTCTCCTGATTTTTTGGCAAGTGTTGCTTGTCTGTGTCGAGCTGTGCCACATCAGCCTTAAATTTCTACTTTGTATAACTCAGCAAGGAATTAGAAAGAAATATATTTACAGTCATATAGCATTCTGTATTTTCCAAAGTAGTTTTACTTAAAATGATCTCATTTTAATCTTCCAACAACTTTCCGAGGGCTGGCTGTCTTGCCTTACGTGTAAGACAGGACCACAGAACCTAAGTGACTAGCCTGAGGTCAAATAACTGGGATGTCAGGGACTTGGAACTCAAATCCGGGACTTCTGAGTCCAAGCCCAGTGCTTTTTCCACTTAACATATTAGGAAAGAAATATAATCTTTATTATCATACAATAATAATCAGCTTCTCTGTATTAGTAGATAAGAGCAAATCAACTGCTTATGATGAGAAATAAGGATGAGCAATGACTTTGCAGAACAGGAAGTAAACACACCATCGGATGCTAATGCCTTCTGCCATGTATCAAATGGGAAAGGTGGTGGTCAGTTGGCATTGGGAAGTTAACTGAAAAACTTTCATTATTGTGTGGGAATCTCTTAGACACTTGAGGAGTGACAATTTGTGGTTAGTTGTTTTTATTTTGTTTCTGAGGACAGAAATCACCTGCAGAAATTGGTGAAAATAGGGTGAGAAGCTAATCAAGCTTATGAGAGATAAAGGCTCAGTTTCGGCTTTGAGATGTAGAGAATAGTTTTAAATGCTTTATTTTGCTGTATGTGTTTTTAAGACAACAGATGGTCCAGTTCCCAAACTTATAATGGTTAAACTTAGGGTTTTTTACCTTTGCGATGGTGTGAAAGTGATACACATTCAGTAGAAACTATGTTTTGAGTACCCATGCAACCATTCTGCTTTTCACTTCCAATGTAGTAGTCAATCAATTACATGAGATAGTTAGCACTTTATTATAAAACAGACTTTGTGTTAGATGATTTTGCCTTACTATAAGCTAATGTAAGTGTTCTGAACACATATAAGGTAGGCTAGGTTAAGCTATGATGTTCAGTAGGTTAGTAAATGCATTTTTACTTAACAATATTTTCAGCTTATGATGGGCTTACTGGGAGGTAACCCCATTGTAAGTTGAGGAGCATCTGTAGTTAGCATGTGATTATATCTTCTGTGCTCTGATCCAGTAACATGGATTTGTGATTCACTTCTATTACCTGGCCTGATACATCTCTAATTGCCTTAATTATATATATATTTTTTGAGAGGTAGGTAGGGCCTCACTCTGTTGCCCAGGCTGGAGTGCAGTGGTGCGATCATAGGTCACTGTACCCTTGATCTCCCAGGCTCTAGTGATCCTCCCATCTCAGCCTCCTGAATATGCTAGACTATGGGCATGCACCATTGTATCTGGTTAGTTGTTTAATATTTTTTTTTTGTAGAGATAGGGTCTCACTATATTGTCTAGGCTGGTCTCTCCTGGGCTCAAGTGATTATTCTGCTTCAGCCTCCCAAACTGGTAAGATTACAGGTGTATGCCACCATGCCTGGGCCCCCCTTAATTCTATCTTTTTGATTCATAAGTTAAACAACAGTTTTGAACTACTTTCTAAAATCATTTGGAAATTTTTGTTTGTTTGTTTGTTTCTTTTTAAGAGATAAGATTCACTCTGTCACCCAGGCTGGAATGCACTGAATCATAGCTTGCTGCAGCCTCAAACTCCTGGGCTAAAGCATTCCTCCTGCCTCAGTCTCTCAAGTTTCTGGGATTACAGGTGCATGCCACTGCATCTGGCTAATGTTTTAACTGTGTGTGTGTGTGTGTGTGTATATATATGTGTGTGTATATGTATATACATGTACACACACATATATGTGTATATATGTGTGTGTATATATATATACACATATATACACACACACACATACACACACACACACACACATATATATTTTTATTGCACTTTAGGTTCTGGGGTAAATGTGCAGAACATGCAGGATTGTTGAATAGGTACATACATGGCAATGTGGTTTGCTGCCACCATCCCCCCATCACCTATATTTGGCATTTCTCCCCATGTTATCACTCCCCAACCTTCCTACCCCCTGCTGTCCCTTCCCTATTCCCCCCCAATAGACCCCAGTGTGTGATGCTCCGCTCCCTGTGTCCATGTGTTCTCATTGTTCAACACCTGTCTGAGTGAGAACATGTGGTGTTTGATTTTCTGTTCTTGTGTCAGTTTGCTGAGAATGATTATTTCCAGGTTCATCCATGTCCCTACAAAGGACACGAGCTCATCGTTTTTGATGGCTGCATAGTATTCCATGGTGTATATGTGCCACATTTTCCTTGTCCAGTCTATCATCAATGGGCATTTGGGTTGGTTCCAGGTCTTTGCTATTGCAAACAGTGCCACAATGAACATGTGTGTATGCATCTTTATAATAGAATGATTTATAATCCTTTGGGTATATACCCAGTAATGGGATTGCTGGGTCAAATGGAATTTCTATGTCTAGGTCCTTGAGGAATCGCCACACTGTCTTCCACAATGGTTGCACTAATTTGCACTCCTACCAACAGTGTAAAAGTGTTCCTATTTCTCCACATCCTCTCCAGCATCTGTTGTCTTCAGATTTTTTAATGATCACCATTCTAATTGGTGTGAGGTGGTGTCTCAATGTAGTTTTGATTTGCATTTCCCTAATGACCAGTGATGATGAGCATTTTTTCATATGTTTGTTGGCCTCATGTATGTCTTCTTTTGAAAAGTGTCTGTTCATGTCCTTTGCCCACTTTTGGTTTGCTTTTTTCTTCTAAATCTGTTTTAGTTCATTGTAGATTCTCAATATTAGCCCTTTGTCAGATGGGTAGATTGCAAACGTTTTTTCCCATTCTGTCGGTTGCTGGTTCACTCTAATGATTATTTCTTTTGCTCTGGAGTTTAATTAGGTCTCATTTGTCTATTTTGGCTTTTGTTGCCAGTGCTTTTGGTATTTTAGTCATGAAGTCCTTGCCTATGCCTACGTCCTGAATGGTTTTGCCTAGATTTTCTTCTATGGTTTTTATGGTGTTAGGTCTTATGTTTAAGTCTTTAAACCATCTGGAGTTAATTTTAGTGTAAGGTGTCAGGAAGGGGTCCAGTTTCTGCTTTCTGCATATTGCTAGCCAGTTTTCCCAACACCATTTATTAAACAGGGACTCCTTTCCCCATTGCTTGTTTTTGTCAGGTTTGTCAAAGATCAGATAGTTGTAGGTGTGTGGTGTTGCCTCCAAGGCCTCTGTTCTGTTCCATTGGTCTATATCTCTGTTTTCGTACCAGTACCATGCTGTTTTGACTACTGTAGCCTTGTAGTATAGTTTGAAGTCAGGTAGCATGATGCCTCCAGCTTTGTTCTTTTTGCTTAGGATTGTCTTGGCTATGCGGGCTCTCTTTTGGTTCCATATGAAGTTTAAGGTGTTTTTTTCCAGTTCTGTGAAGAAGGTCAGGGGTAGCTTGATGGGGATAGCATTGAATCTATAAATTACTTTGGGCAGTATGGCCATTTTCACAATATTGATTCTTCCCAACCATGAGCATGGAATGTTTTTTCCATCTGTTTGTGTCCTCTCTTATTTCGTTGAGCAGTGGTTTGTAGTTCTCCTTGAAGAGTTCCTTTACATCCTTTGTTAGTTGTATTCCTAGGTATTTTACTCTCTTTGTAGCAATTGTGAATGGCAGTTCCTTCTTGATTTGGCTTTCTTTAAGTCTCTTATTGGTGTATAGGAATGCTTGTGTTTTCTGAAAAATACGGAATGCTTCATGAATTTGCATGTCATCCTTGTGCAGGGGCCATGCTAATCTTCTCTATATCATTCCAATTTTAGTATATGTACTGCCGAAGCAAGCACATGTTTTATCTTTTTGTGGAGACAGGGCATTGCTTTGTTGCCTAGGGTGATCTCTAACTCCCAGCTTCAAGGGATCCTCCTGGTCTTTCGAAGTGCTGGGATCACAGGTGTGAGCCACTGTGCCTGGTGGTTTTCTTTAATGAGGGAAATATGAGGGAAGAAAATTTAAAGGTCAAGATAATAAGGTGGACCAGATATGTATAGCTAAACTCTTTTGAGGATTTGTGAGTGAAAAAATTGGGTTTTCATTTTCAAATGTACTTAAAATGTATTTAGAACTGAATTATCAAAAGATTTTAACTTTAGCTTATGATTTAAATAAATACCCAGTTTTATTTTATGAAACAGAAGGGATCTGAAGGAAATTTGATATGGTGAAAAGCAAATTTAATTAAAATAGAATATTAGCTCTTCAAGTTACTGTTTTGCTACCGTACCTCTTAAGAGACATTGGTTTGTCAGAATTTGTATCATTCTAATAATTAACTGAACTGAAAAAACTGCATATGCTTTTAGAGCTAAAGACCATCTGATGTCATCTAATCTACTACCCATTGTAGCAATTTCCTTAGTAATGTTCTTAGTAAGTGCATATATAGCTACTATCATTAAAAAGAATATTATCCATGGGACAACATTACAATGGTCATTCAAAAAATATTTTTGTCCTGGGAACAAAACAACTTTATTTTCTTATCTGCATGACAGTTTTATGGTACTGAAGGGAGCTCTCAGCAGAATTCTTGTTTGAACTAATTAGCCATACCAAAATTCCTTTTATAGTGGTGATGTTTTTGACAAGTGGAATTACTAGAATTACCACAGTAATCATTTGCGTGAAGAAATTGTGGATAATGGCAGCAGACTATAGGTGAAGCAAATCATAGTCCCAATATTTAAAAAAAAGGACGGGCCAGGCAAGGTAGCTCATGCCTATAATCCCAGCACTTTCGGAGGCTGAGGTGAGTGGATCACCTGAGATAAGGAGTTCAAGACTAACCTGGGCAACATGGCGAAACCCCATGTCTACTAAAAATACAAAAATTACCTGGGCATGGTGGTGCGTGCCTATAATCCCAGCTACTCCAGAGGCTGAGGCAGGAGGATTGTTTGAACCTGGGAGGTGGAGGTTGCTGTGAGCTGAGATTGCACCACTGCACTCCATCCAGTCCTGGGTGACGGAGAAGCACTCCTCTCAAAAAAAAAAAAAAGAAGGAAGGGTATATTCTTAAAGTTTCTCTTTAAATTTTAGATTGATATTGGATAGGATTCAATAGTTGATTATTAAATTGTTTGAGAGCATTTAGAACATGTTATATCTTTGGTAGACAGTGTGGGTTGACATAGAAGCAAGTTATACCAAATTGTCTTATGCTTTTTTAATGGTAGATTAGCTGACATAGCAAATCATTTCAGCAGAAAATTTAACAGTTTTCCTCTGATGTCTTTCTAGATGTTTCATATGTTATTATACCAAAAAGTAGTTAAGTAAATTTGCAGTAAATGGAACAATCATTGGAAAATCTCAGATGAAATACTCTAGGGTTATATTTTTGACTCTGTTTTGTTCAGCATTTTTCTGAGCGATATAACATATTTGTTAAACTTGTGGAGGGCACAGGTTTAAAGAGACAGCTACTGTGACATATGACAAAATTTCAATCTATCCCAGTAGGTTAGTATGTTGGATTAGAAGCAGCAGGATGTAATAAGAGTAAAGTACATTGCTAGGGTTTGAATATTATTTGCCATGTTGAGACTTTGTCCCCAGCGTGGTGCTGTTGAGAGGTAGCACCTTTAAGAGGTGACTAGGTCATGAAGATAGATGGATTAGTATATTTCTCTTGATACGAGATTAGTTTTCATGAGAATGGTTTAGTTTACAAGAAAGTGGGTTGTTATAAAATGAAGCTGCCTCTCATGTGTTGCCCTTTTCCTTCTCATGTACCTGGTTTCCCTTCTGTTTCTCTGCCATGTTTTGATGCAGCATGAGGCCCTCACTAGAAGCTGCCACATCTGACCACTTAAAGTTGAACTTCCCAGCCTGTTGAACTGTGTGCTAAATAAATCTTTTTCTTTATATAAATTGCCCAGTCACAGGTATTCTGCTATAGTAACACAAAACAGATGAAGACATCCATTATTTAGGTTTCAATTTTATAGGTGGAGGAAAGCAGTTATATGAAAAATTATCTGCAATATATAGTGTGAACCAATAATGTGATGCAGTTACTAAAAAAGCTAACACAGTCTTGTGCTGAATTAACAAAACTTTGGGTCTACATTGTGGAATGAGGTGGTTGTGTTGTGCCTGTGATATGGTAGACCATACATAGTGTTGCATTGACTTTTGGGCAGCACACCGTAGGAACACCATTAATGAGGGGGTGTTTGACAGAAATCATGACACATTACACACTGCTTGAAGAAGCTAAGAGCGCTAGTTTTTAAAGATAGAAAGGTCTGGAAATGGAGGCTCTGACAGATTTTATAAATTGTCCAAGATGATTTTAGTAGTTCTTAGCAGATCTAGCTCTCTGTTCTTAGTTCTGGGTTCTTTCTACTCATGATATTTTGTTCTTCTGGAAAATAAAACCAATGCTACCAAGTAGACGTTATTAGGAAACAGATTTTGACTCTGCAGAGAGTTTTTAATAATTGATGTTGTCCTCTAATATAAGGAACTGCTTTGGGAAATAATGAGGTTTTTATTACAGGAGAAATGGAAATAGACGTAGTATAACTTCTTTTTTTTGGGGGCGGGGGGGGATAGAGTCTTGCTCTGTTGCCCAAGCTGAAGTGCAGTGGCTTGATCTCGGCTCACTGCAACCTCCCCATCCCAGGTTCAATCAGTTCTCCTGCCTCAGCCTCCCGAATAGCTGGGACTACAGGCGTGTGCCACCACCCCTGGCTAATTTTTTGTATTTTCAGTAGAGACGGGGTTTCACCATGTTTTTTTTTTTTTTTTTTTTTACTTTGAAATTACTTTAATTTAGAAATAGAAAACGTTTTGAAAGGAGAACAAAACCCACAAAACATACAGGCAAATTTGTATTCTGTGAGCTTCTCACACCCTCACCACTTGTTCACCAGTCTCTAAGATGAAAAACTCTCTTCCAAAATGTATTCAGCCACCAACAATGATGTTATTAATAGGAATATGGATCAATTTCACAAAGAAGCCAATGAATCCCATTATAGCAAATCCTATTGCTGTTGCCATCACCATGTTAGCCAGGAGGTCTCGATCTCCTGACCTCGTGATCCTCGGCCTTGGCCTCCCAGAGTGTTGGAATTACAGGTGTGAACCACCACGCCTGGCTGTATAATTTCTTTATTAGAAATAGGGTATATTTTAAGGGATAATTGTGAGTTCAACTATGTCAGAAACTGAGCTGGATAACATGTGGAGGGTAACCATATCCTTCTCTATGCTTGTTGTCCTGGTTAGTTATTAATAATGCCCGTTTTTCCCACTCTGGGTGTTCCATTTTTGGTGATAAATGTTATGGTTGCCTTTATTATAAGGTTTATTTTCCAACTCTGTAAATATGCTGAATGAAAATTATTTCAGCATAAATTATATTAGTTTACCATATGAAATCAAGTCTTAGTGGCAATATGTGGAGTCTTGGAGAAAATCACTTAAACATATTTTTGAAATGGAAAATTTCAAACATTTACATATGTAAAGAGAATGGTATAATAAACTCCTATGTACCTATCACACAGTTTCACAACTATTAACTCATAGACAATTTGATTTCATATGTCCTCCATCAGCTTTTTCCCACATAATTTTGAAGCAAATTCCAAGTGTCATCCATAAGTATTGTGTTTTTATAAGCTATGGACTCTTTGTAAACATAACTTGAATATCATTGACACACTTAAAAAAATCAATGCTAATTCTTAAATCCTTTATTACTAGTCTGTATTCAATTTTTTGATATATATATGTATACACACATACATACATATATACAGACATATATAAACATACATATGTAAGATGTATGTGTGTTTAACTGTATTTTTGGATACTGATTGTGTACATTGCAATAGGTTGATATGTCATTTAGGTCTCTTATTTGCAGCTATCTTGTTCTGTTATTCCTTTTCTTTTTCTTTGTCTTTTTTTTCCTTTTCCCCCTCCTTCTTTTCTTCCTATTCTTCCTCATATTCTTCTTCATCTGGTTCTCATTCCTTCTCCTTCATTCTTTTTTCTCTCCTTTTTCTTCTTTGTTTTGCATTTATTTGTAACGAAGCTGGGCCATTTGTTTTCTAGTTTTCCACAGTTTGATTTTGATGATTTCATTTCTGTGGGGTCATTTAATGTGGTGGTTTGATCTAGAGGCTTACTCAGGTTCAGGTTTTGTTTTGTTTTGGTTTGGTTTGGTTTGGTTTTTATTTCTCGCAAGAATATCTCACAGGTAACATAGTCTTTCATTAGAGGTCTATAATATGGCAGCCTTCAATGGTCTTTGCTTTGATCTATTAATTTGTAAAGTGTTGCAAAATGATAATATTCTGTCATTTCTTCTTCATTTATTAGTTGGAATACTTGTGTAAGGAGTTTTTCCTGATCAACTATTTGGTAATCCTAAGTACAGGTTCCCTTAGAAAGGATAGGATAAATTCTTTCTTTTCCTTTATTTTCCAGTTTTCAAAATAACGTGTAGATCCTTTATATCTTCCGAAGATAACTTGATTTTTTAATGTATCATAACTCATGGGTTTAAAATCATTTGGTGTGTTTTAATTCATTATAGTTATTGTTATTGATGCTTAAATTCACTTGTCTTTGCCCAGGAGCCTCTGCATGATGGCTCCTCAAGTCTTGTTGATATGACCCACAAAGTTTTTGATAGTTGCTTGTTTTCTGGCACGACCAGATATTTCAGGCTCATCTTGTACTTTTTAAACTCTGGGCCTCAGGCCAGTCTTTTCAGTCTTTGTCCCCTCACTACTCACCAGCTATAACTCTTGTAAGAAATTGC